ACACTCTCACATGCACACACACTCAATGCACACACTCACATACATACTCACACAGGCATACACACTCTCACATGTATACACACACATGCACACACTTACATGCATACACACTCACACACACGGGCATACATGAACATGCTCATGTGCTCACACATACACTTTCTCACTCATATGCACATGTGTGCAATGGTGCATATATACAGGATCACTCACATATACACACATATACATGCTCATATGCTCACATATGTATACTCACATACACGTATGCCCACATGCACATGTGCATACATACAGACACATGCACACATAGTCACACATACTCACATATTCACACAGGCAAAAATGCTCATATATACGTACACATATGCTCACTCATGTATATATATACATGTGCACATGAACACACACAGGATACATAATCACTCACATATGCACAACATGTTTGTACATGCACACACATTCACATACTCTTACTCGTTGCACACACTCACCCCTCAGTCACAGGAACAGAAAAAACCTTTCAGGACAGGATTGACCAACCTGTGTCTTGTGGGACTTGATCTTGGTGTTGACAAGGGTGACCATAGGGGTAGCTGGGCAGTCCTGGGGACCACTCCGATTTCCCCAATCCTCTCCAAATAAAAAGTTAAAATGAAAATATATTTGTCCTCTGACTCAACTAACATCCCCTCATCTGTGGTGCTCCTTAGCCTGGCTGCCCACCGCCTGGCCCAGGCTTTATCATCAACCTCAGTTTTGTCTCTTTGCTGGTAGCCCAGGCTCCTCCCAGGCCCCCAAGGCCCCCGGGGTCAAGGACCACACTTCATGGCACATTCTGCTGAATGAGCAGCAGGCTCCAGCCTCTCCCCAGTCCTGTCTGGTGTTAGCTTTCACGGTGCTCTGTGGTGTAGGACTGCCCTGGAGCCACACTGCTGAGTCCTCCACATTAGTGATTGCTGGGATAGGAGCCCCCAAGGCTACTTCAAGTTATAGCTTGGCCGTCAGTCTGTCCCTGGAGCACTCCAGCTGTGGGGCAGGCGGGCAGGCAGAGCTGGATGGCCTTCTGAAGGACTTGCCAGCAGGCAGAATGGCTCTGTGGGGTGAGTGGAAGGTACCTGGCACTCCCAGGCAGCCCAGCTTCCGGATCCTTCAGTGCAGCGTGCTGAACCACAGCTGGGACAGATGTGCAGGAAGCCACCTGCATGATCGGGGCCTGCCGAGGAGGAGAGCGGCATTGGTTCCTTTGTTACTTTTCTTGTACCTGCAGCAGAATCAGCCGAAGAAAGGAAGGGTTGATCGGGGCTCACAAGAGCATGGCTCCTTGTGGTGGGGAAGGAGTGACAGCGGGGGGGCGGGGGGGGGGGCGTCCCTGTCACATTGCACCCACACTCAGGAAGCAGAGAGCAGTGAGCTGGGGTACTCATTGCCCTTGCTCTTTTTTATTCGGT